AAAAATGGGCACAGGACATGAACAGATACTTCACCAAGGAGGAGATCCAGGCAGCCAACAAATATATGAAGAAATGTTCATGATCATTAGCCATTAGAGAGATGTAAAGCAAAACAACAATGAGATATCATCTCACACCAGCAATAACAGCAAAGATCAAAAAAGTAGAGGACAATAAATGCTGTCAAGGATGTGTAGAAACTGGGTCACTTCTGAATTGGTAGTGGGATTACAAAATGGTCCAACCTTTCTGGGAAGCAATATGGTGCTTCCTCAGAAGGTTGGAAATAGGAATACTTTATGATTCAGCAATTCCTCTACTTGGTATTTACCCACAAGAAATACGAGCTATAACACAAGTAGATATATGCACACCAATGTTCATAGCAGCACTATTTACAATAGCAGAAAGATGGAGACAGCTGAAATGCCAATCAATTGAAGAATGGATAAACAAACTGTGGTACATACACATAATAGAATATAATGCTAACTTGAAGAACAACAAGAAGGCTGTAAGCCACCACATAACATGGATGAACCTTGAGGACACTATGTTGAGTGAAATTAGTCAGTCGCAAAAGGTGAAATACTGCATAGAAACACTATTGTAATAGACTAAGAAAAAGAACACATACTAAAAGGGAGGGGGGCAGAAATTCTTTGCTGGTTATCGAGACGGGGTTGAGGGTGGGGTGAGTGGCGGGAAGGGAAGGTGGAGCACAGGGTAGGGAATAGTTACAGGATAGTTTGGGTGCTGGGCAATAAACAAGAAAAGGGAGGGGAAATAGAAGAGCAAGGTAGACGGTTGAACAGTTAGACAGGTTTGCATGGGCTAAGTGGGACAGAGGTAAATAATGATGTATGCACAACCTTGAAACAACAGGGCTCTGGGATACAGGGATTGAGACATGGTTTGAAAGGGTTAAATGGGGGAAATAATGTTAAGATGCTTAGTTGTCTTTTGAATCTTCGTTCCCTTGCCTAGCATTGTAAAATAAACGCTTGACAGGCAGAGAAAGGAATAGCCAGAAATATCACCATAGAAAGCTTGTAAGTCCGTCTTCTGCCTATAACTGATTGGAATACCTAAAATGGGGCTAAAACTTGCCAAGTGACGGAGGCTTCCTGAAGAGCCTTTGCATTGCATAAGGCCATAGAGGAAATTCTGAACTCCATTCAGAATCTTCTGGGGTGGGAAATCTTCACTTGAAAGGACAAGCAGACTAGCCTGGAGTGGCTAGAACAGAAGATACTTCTTGAAAGAAAGACCAACAGGAAAAATAAAAAAACAGTAACAGCAGTCTGACTGACTACTACAAGAACAAGCAAGGTGTTCGCCCAGGGGACATCAAAGCAAGAAGTGGTCGGGTCCCCTCAGGGTAAACCCCTTTCCAAGACTAAGACTCAGGGGGAATACACAAGCAGGCATGCGGTCTGACTGGTGACCATGTTGGTCACCGATAAGGGGAAGTGAGGGAAAAACAGTAATGAAGCTGTGAGCTAAGTCCAACCATGTTCAATGGACTCCTATGAACCTGGGTGGAGACCTGGTTTGTCAGCAGTATGGAAAGACCTGGGGACTCTTGGCTCCAGAGTCAGTGACATAGCCACAGAGGACTAGAGTGGAGAGTGAAGTGTCCAGCTGACAAGAAGAGAGGGCATATGCACAAGAACACCCACACTTACAGATAATACCTACTTGACCTGGCTTCAATGGCTGGATGATCAGAACTTGACTCAAAGAAGGAAAAAGAGGAAAAAAAAGAGTAATCTGATACAATTTGATGAACTTGACCTACACCTTTGGATGCAGTAGCTCAAAAGAGGGAACAAATCTTTACAGCAAGGATCATTCCCACCCCCTCCATACACAGAGTACACAGGGATGGGCACTTTGGACATTGGCTACCCAAAACAGAGGGGGCTACAAAGGCAAAAAGTGACTGGCTTGCAAGCTTTCAATGGGGAACCTAGATCCAGAGGGCACAGAGGAAGGTAGAACCTCCACTGAGTAGTATCCAATCTGTCTGGGAAGGGCTGATGAAAGGAGATGGGGATAGGTCTCTTATGATACAATAGTGAATAATTGCTATCAGGACTGACTGTGAGAATTGGAAATGTAAAGGTAGATGTTGGATAGCTAAAGGAGGGGAGTGCTTGGTTTTGCAGTCCACTAGTGGAGGTTACTGGGACCATCAAGGGAGAAGAGCGGAGTGCAGGACTCCACCCAGAGAAGCAGTGATGCCAGAAATGGAGGCAGAGATGATGACATGGAGAAATGGAGTGGCTGGGGACTCTAGACCCAGAGAGGGAGAGGGGCTGTGTGCTGATGACCGAGTGGATGGCTTGTGGGGTATACCCTTTGGTTGTCTGATGATGCATGAAGGGGATTGTAATCATGGCAATGAAACAATATACAATACGATGAATGTAAAGCTAGTGTTCTCCCATGTAAACTATTACATAATTCACAATAAAAACTTTAAACCAAAAAAACATTATTTGCAAACAAACAGACAACAGACTGAATTTGGCATGCAGGTCGTGGTCTGCCAATTCCCGATCTAAAGCCAAAAAGCTTTTTTTTTTTTTATCACTACAACCAGTTGCATATTCCTAAATTAGTATTTGGGATATTCTTGGTGTGTATGTTAGAGTGAGCCTTGGAAACCCTACGCAGGGTCCCTTTGAGTCGGAACCAACTCCACAGCACATAGCCACTGCCACAATCCATTTAGAGTAACAGTGTTACTCCTGAAAGCAGCTGGTAGGTGGAAGCTTTGGCATAGGTCAGAGATGCTGGTCAAAGTTCTGATGTTTCCATGTGACCCTGTATCACCCAGACAATGTATGTTTTCTGTGTAGGATTGTGTTCAGCCACTTCATCATTTAATATGAATGCAGCTGACAATCTTTCTTACCTAGTTTTGGCAGAAACCACAAAGAGAACATTTTTCTGGATTATCAATCACACTGTAATGCTGCCACAAAGTAGGCCAAGGGCCTTCATGTGAATGCCAGCCTTTAGAATCCAAGACCTGGAGAGCTCATCCAGAAAGGGATCACAGACAGAATCTATCCCCTCATCAGATGAAGAAATTGAGACCTAGTGAGGAAATGGGTCTGCTTCCAAATGTAATCTTCTAGTAGCCAAGGGAAGAAAAACAAGGAACATGAGTAAGCTGCTGGGATAAACCTCATCTCTTATTCATACTCACCTCCCTGAATCTATTATTAGATTATTGTCAACTCCTGTCTGGCTTTCCCTGCCTTTTTCTTCATCATCTCTTACATCTAGAGAAGTGCTTCTCACACTTTAATGCACTTATGATGCGCCTCAGGGTTTTATGAAAATGTACATTCTGACTCAGCTGACCTCAGGAGGAGCTTGAGAGTCTCCATTGCTAACAAATTGCTAGATGACACTACTGCTGCCCATGAATTCCAGTTTGAGTAGTCATCATGATTAGATTGGGGAAGTAAATCAAGAGCTCATTGCTACCATCTGTTAGGGCTTGGCATTGATTCATAATGCTGGCACCTGGTAGAGCAGGAACTTACATGCAACAAGGCACAGCTGCTACCCTCTGTACCCTTTCTTGGCTTAGTTCATGAGATTGACTTCTTCCTGGACTCCGGCCCTACACCTGACATACATCCTGTGAGTCACACATATTTTTTCGTACATTAATTCATTTAATCCTCACAGCAGTCCTACAAATTGCTGTTGTTGCTAAGTGCCAAGAAGTTGGTTCCAACCCATAGTGACCCTGTATAGGGTTCCCAACAGCGGCTGGTGAGCTTGAACTGCCGACCTTGCAGTTCAAACTGACTTTGCAGTCCACAAAGTCACACCAAGACTCCGGCTGTTCTACAAATTAGGCCTCATTGTTATTCCTGTTTTACAGAATGGACAATGGTACAAGAGCCATTAAGTGGCCTGTCTGAGGTCACAGAGATGATTGGTGGTAGACTAGAACTCAGACCTAGATCTCCTAACAACACATTTAATCTGCTCTTTCATTTATTTTATACTTACCGCCCTGGAGCCTAGATTTCTCTTTCTGCTTGTGAATTCCATAGAGGGACAAGATAGATAATTCTGATAATTCTCTCAACTTCGTCATAGTATCTTCAGTAGCCCAGGAAGGTAAGGTGAAATTGTGAATTTTCTATAATGAAGATAAAGGAAGAAAATGTGCATGTGTTTTTATTTTTGACAGTCATCCTCTTTGTTGACTTAAAAAATTTGTTTTGTTTTGTTTTAGGTAGAAGTTTACCCAGAAAATTAGGTTTGCCTTTTAACAATTTTTACACAAATTGTTCCATGCCATTGGTTAGAATTTTTATATTGTATCAGCATTCATGTTACTTCCATTCTGTTTGTTCTATTACCATCTGTCTAGCTTTCCTTCTCCTCCTTGCCTTCTCACTTTTGGTTTTGGGTAGATGTTGACCGTTTCATCTCACATTTGATCAAGGAAACACACTACTCACAGGTGATACTGACTCACATCAATAGCTTCAATTTCATTTTCAAAAGTTATCTTACGGCAGTAGTCTTGGGGGTTCCTCTAGTTTGATCCAGTAGGTCTTGCCTTATGTTAGGAATCTGAGTTCTGTTTGACATTTTTCTCCCAGTAGGTCTTGCCTTTTTATAGGAATTTGAGTTCTGCTTGACAGTTTTCTTTCATTCTATCTGGGACTTTCTATTGGGTCCCTGATCAGAACAGTCGGTACTGGTAGCTGGTGATCTTCTGGTTCTGGTCTCAGGTTATACCCAGTTTCATTGAGTCAATTCTGACTCATAGCAACCCGTTGTTGTTAAGTGCTGTCGAGCTGGTTCTCACTCATAGGGACACTGTATAGGGTTTCCAACCATAGTACAGAGTAGAACTGCTCCTTAGGGTTTCTGAGACTGTAAATATTTATGGGTGCAATCAGTCTCATTGGTGAGTTTGAACTGCTGGTCTTGCAGTTAGTAGGTCAATACTTAACCCACAGTGCCACCAGGGCCCTACAGACTCAGGATAGGAGAGACTGTAGTTTGTGTGGACTATTAGTTCCATGAATTAGTTTCTGTTTTGAGCCTTGATTTCCTTCATTCTCCTTTGCTCCATGTGAACAGAGATCAACAATTGTATCTTAGATGGCTGCTCCCAAGCTTTAAAGACACTACGTCATGTTCACTAAACTAGAATGTAGAACATTATTTTTGTCAACTATGTTATGCCAATTGGCTAAGTTGTCCCTGAGACCTTCTTGTTAACTTTTTTCCTCTTTCACCTCACAAGAAATACTGGGCATAGCCTTCCTTATGCTGCTATTTCTTTCTAGGAACACTTTTTATTGTGATAAGTAGAGATATTGATTCCTAGAAGAAGAACTAATTTGTCCCTTCCTACCAAGTCCACAAGACTCCTGGCGCAGCACTGTATGATCAGCACCGGACTGTGAACCACAAGGTTGGTTGTTCAAATCCATTATCCTCTCCTTGGAAACGCTGTACAGGAATTGACTCAACGGCACTTAATAGTAACAACACCAAGTCCATAGCTTCTGACTTAACTCTCTATCAATGGGTGATTCATAGTTTACAGAGTATGCGTGCAGAACAATAAGAATGTACCTCATTCCTTCATGAAAGGCTTAGAAAATCTTTCATAAATATGTTGGGAAAGTAACACCCTGGCAAAGAATACATTTGCCAACATTCAACAATGCTTCCTTAAAAACTGAATTAACTGCCCTAAAGGCCAGATGGGGAAGGCGATGTATTTCTGGAGCGGTCAATAATGTATCTCTCGTCCCATTAGATTCTCGTTCAGACTTTTGGGGATCTCTGTACCCTGCACACATGAATATTTGCTAAATGGATTTAAAAGCTATATTGTTGTTTGTTGTTGTTGTTGTTAAATGCTGTTGAGTCGATTCCGACCCATAGTGACCCTGTATAGGGTTTCTGAGGAGCAGCTGGTGAGCTCGAACTGCTGACCTTACAGTTCAAAAGGCTTTACAGTCTGGTGCATTAACACACAGTGCCATACCAGGACTCTAAAAAGCTATATAAGAGGGTAGAAAAAGACTGTGCCAATGGTTATTACCAGTAATGGAGAGTTGATGATGATTTCCTCAGTTTCAAGGTGGGACTGAGAGAGAGAGTTCATAAGAGACAAAAGTGAAGTAATCTACAGAGGAAATGAGACAGAGGGCTGGGGGAATGAAAATGATACCATCATCACATAATGGAATAGTTCAGATCAAATTGTAGTAAGGTAGAAGTAAACAAAATGATGGGAACCAAAATTAGGCTCTGGTCTCCACTGAAGTCTCCACTGAAGTCTGTCTGGGTTGGAAATGTAAATTTAGACGTTTTGTAGCAAGGAGCGGAGTCATTAACTTTTCAGCCTAGGATTGGAGGTCCCTTGGACCATCAAGGGAGAAGAGTGGAGAGTGGGACCCTACCCACAGAAGCAGTGATGCCTGCGATGGAGGCAGAGACGATGACATGGAGAGATGGAGCAGTTGGGGACTTTAGACAGAGAGAGGGGTGGGGCTGTGGGCTGACGACTCGGGGGCAGGCTTGAAGTGTATACCCATTGGTTGGTTGGAGATGCATGGAGGGGATTGTAACCATAGTAATGAAACGATATATGACAGGATGAATGTAAAACTAATATTCTCCTTTGTAAATGATCACATAAATCACAATAAAACATTTAAAAAAAACACAAACCACAAAACAACAACAAAAAAAACCCATCTAGAATTGGTCTTCCCAATTTATGGTCTAACTTTTGTTTAATGATCTCTCCATATCTTCTAATGATGCTAAGCAATTGCCTATGAACTACAAGGCATTAGAAATGTTGAACTCAACAATGAGGACTAGTCTCCTTCTTTTTCAGGCAGGCCCGTCCTAAGTTCTAATGCTTAATCAAAGTGGGTTTATTGGAGGTGTTTTCAAAGCTTTCTCTTTTGTTTCCCCACTATTACCAGCTCCAGGAGTTCTTAGCTAACTAATTCACCTATTTCCTCCTGATCTTTGAAGGTTCTGGAGCAAAGAGGAATTTTCCAACTGCTGATATATCCAATGCTGACATTTTGAGAAATCTGCAGGACTCCATGCTTGTATAAACTTCCAAAATAAAGCCTCAGATATTCATAAAATACAAAAACAAAAAACTTCATTGATGATAAAGTAATAACTATTAGGAAAGTAGCATGTCTTTGGGACAATTAACTCTTTCATGAAGGAGGGACTTGTTATTGAGAAAATATTATGAAACTAATTGCTGTCCCAGACCTTCAACATCAGGAGTAGATGAGGACTCAGAATCTGGGCAGTCAAATTTGGCCAGTCAGAATTTTTTCTCAGTATTTAATGAACTGATTAGAAATTAAAATAGAGAGTACTCCTTTTGGCCAGAAGGTGGAGCATGGTGAATGAAAAACCACATTATTCTAGAAGAAAAAAAAAAACAAAACTAATGAATCTAGCTACAGAGATTATTTCATATGCATACCCCAGCAAGGAAGAGACGCTTTCATTCTAAGTCAATTTTAGCAGCCTGATTTACAGTTGGCTTACTAATTTACATTCTCATAAATCAAATAATTGCTCTTTTTCTTTCCATACGACATTACTCCCTCCCCACCCCCCGCCCCCCTGCCATTATTACAATCCATAACGGGAGTCTAGTATTCCTGAGTGATTGAAAAACAAGTAAGTGGCAAGGTATGGAAGAAAAACAAGTTTTTAAAGGGTGAAAACAAGTAATTGACAGAAACGAGAAGTTAGGATTTTAAAGTTAACATAAAGAAGTTTTGAACTATGTTTCAGTGTTTGAAGAAGGATAAATCATACATCTGCTCCAAACTGAAATTAAGTTTATCTGTTTGAAGATAAGCATAAACACAAAGTCAGATTGCAAACGAATCTCTGATATGGTTTTCTTTACCTCACAAAATAAAGGGTCGTAGATTCTACTCCAAATTCCAAAAAGGTCCTGACGTTGGTGTCCTGATAGTTTTGGCAAGGTTTCTATAAAACTCTGAAACACAGAGAGGAGAGATTTTGCTACATCAGGGTTTTTGAACTTCAATACTGTTGACATTCTGGGCTGGATAATTCTTTGTTGTGGGAGACGGTGCTGTGTATTATGAGATCATTCCAAATCTGGCCTTTAACCACTTGATGTCAAGATCAAGATGCCAGATGTGGCAACCAAAAATGTTTCCAGATATTATCAAGTGTCTTGAGAGTGGGCAGAGAGGGCAAAACCACCCTTGCTGAGAACCACTGGTCTTCATGTAAAGCGCACTAGTGATGCCACCTGCGGTAACAATACCAACCCCAAGAATTTCATACACACCAACTGATTTTTGTTACATTAAAAATGCTGTCAACTGCTGGCTCACTGCCAAATACACCTCATTTGTCCTGGAATCCATGGGAGCACATGGTTTTACATTGTTTCTGGAAGGATCTAGGGGTGGTCAGTTCTGACTTATAATGACCCTTCATAGGGTTTCCAAGGAGCAGCTGGTGTGTTTGAACCTCCAACCTTGTGGTTAGTAGTCCAGTGCTTATCCTATAGCGCCACATCAGGAATCCAACCAGGGTTTGGGAATTAGCTATAAATACGACACCTGGATGGGATGTGAACATCCTACTAGGTTCTGTAGACTCAGATTGTCACAATATTGAGACCCAAGGCTCAGCTATCTGACTCAGCTATTCATGGTAGCCATTTCTATCTGGAAGAGATTGCTTATCTGAATCAAGTGATACATTTTCTAGAAAAAAGCTAAATTGCCAATATTAATCCCAAGAGAGATAAACAGATCAATTTTTTTTTTCCTATGAATAAACTGCTAAAGAACTCTTCACTTCTATCCCTACCTCCCTGCAAAAGCTCCAGGGCCAGATGACTTCCTGGAGGAATTCCAGCAAAATATTTAAAGAATAAATTATTCTAATGTTATGTTAAATGTACTGGAGCATAGAAACTGATGGAAACAAACAAACAAAGAAACCTTTCCATTAATGAAAAATAATTAAGTATAATATTAGTACTGTATTGGATTACTTGAAAAAGAAAACTATAGGTCAATGTCACTTGTGAATATCAATGCAAAAGACCAAAATTATACTACCAAATAATTTAATAGCACATTAAAAGAAACACATTTATCATAAAACAATGCAAAGATGCTTCGATATTAGTAAATCTAGGAGTCCTGATGCGGCGCAGTAGGATAAGCACTGGACTATGAGCCAAAAGGTTGGCAGTTCGAACACACCAGCCGCTCCTCGGAAATCCTATACAGAGTTGCCATGAGTTAGAATTGACTTGCTGACACTTAACAACAACAGCATTACTGTTGTGGTATGGTAGGATAAGCACTGGACTGCTAAGTGCAAGGTTGATAGTTCAAATTCATGAGCCACTCCTCAGATATCCTATACAGGGTCACTGTGAGTGGGAACCAACTTGAAGGCACTTAACAGCAATAAATGTAATTAATCATAGGAGTTGATCAAAGAAGAAAATAATTTGATGATATTAAAAAGTTTTTAAGGCTATTTCAAAGAATTAAATAAGTAATACTGATTGAAAAATCTCAAGAAAATAGAAAAGATGAATATTTCTATAACTTAATAAAATATGCCTATCTTAACTATAAAGGAAGAATGTTTTCAAGGGAAATGCTAGTAATGTTCATTTTAAAATTAGGATTAAGACAAGCATGTTCATTACCAGCACTATTATATAACATTGTACTATAAGTGTTGGAAAATACAAGTTTGCATAAGAAAGAAATCATTAGTATAAATACCATAAAAGTATAGGTACCATTATCATTTATAGATATTGTAGACCCAGAACAAATTTAACATGAAATACAAATATCTAAAACACCAAAAATAATCTTGAAAGTCAGAATAGGAAAATGTAGAATGTTATTGGAAAGGAAGACTAAACATTGAAAAGTGACAAAATCTAAGTTAATTTATAAATGTAATATAATCTCAGTGAGAATGCTAAAAAGATTTTTTAAAGTTTAGAACTAGACAAGCTGCAACTAATGTTCACAAAGAAAATAAAAATAGAACCCTGAAACTTCTGAGAATGTAGAGCAGTGTGGGATGTTGAGTCTTTTAGATATTAAAGCATACTGTAAAGTCCTAATAATACAAAAAGGAGCTCTAGTAGCGTAGTGGTTATGAATCAGGCTGCGAACCGCAAGGTCAGCAGTTCGAAACTACCAGCTGTTCCTCGGGAGAAATATGAGGCTTTTTGCTCCCATAAAGATTTACAGCCTCGGAAACCCTGTACAGGGTCACTATGAGTCAGAACCGACTCCACGGCACACAGCCACCACCAATAATACAAATGGTATGACTTTGGCTAATGAAATAAAAGAATATTTTTATAGAATGAAGAGTCTAGAAATAGATACCATTCCTATGGGAATTTTAATATACAGTAGCTCAAATCAGGAGAAAGAGATGCACTGTTTTCAAACAGAGAGGACAATCAGATAGTCTCCAGGGAATAAATTAATCAGGAAACATACTCTATACCTAATACCAGGGTAAACTGTGAATGAATTTGAGACATGAATGTGGAGATAAAGGTATAGTAGAATTAGAAGAAAGCATTGCAATTTTCCATTATAGCCTAGAAGTGGAGAAGTCTGTTCTAAACATTACTCAAAATACAGAAGTCATATAAGGATATCTAGACACTTCAACCACAAGGCAAAACAACAACAACAACAACAACAACAACAAACAACAAAAACACCATAAGCACAGTCAAAAGGCAAAGAATAAAAGATACATCAGACAAAAATGTTAAAACATATAGAAAAAATCTAGAAAGCGCCTACAATTTTATAGAAAAAAATAAGCTAAGACTCCAATAGAAAAATGATCAAGGGATATAAGAAAAAGTGTGTACAAATGACATTTACCCAAATGAAGATAGTGGATTGTACTCATGATAAGATAAACATATTCTAGCACATGTTGAATAATAGTGATGATGTGGACTTCCTGGCCTTATCCTGATTTTGGAGATGTTGCTTCTAGTGATTTATATATGTATCACTTATCAGACTGACTTATCAGAGTGTCATAGTCCCCAAATTGTCTATATACTGTTGGCAAAACTGGAGAAACAGGTACTGTTGTGTAGTGCTGATAGGATTAGAAGTTGGGATAACCTCTTTGGAGAGTAATTTGATAATATTTCAAGTTGTCCTGCATTTCTACTTCTGAGATATTATCCTATAGATGTTCTTGTGAAATTATTTGGGTGTCATGTAGCATAACTTCTTTGTAAAAACCAAAGATTGGAAATGACCTCCATAGCCATCAATTGTTGTTGTTAAGTGCTGTTGAGTTGTTTCTGACTCATAGCATCCCTGTATGGGGTTTCTGAGGAGCGGGTGGTGGGTTTGAACCACTGACCTTGCAGTTCAAACAGATCTTGCGGTCTAGTGCTTATCCTACAGTGCCACATCAGAACTCCTTACCCATCAATCAGGGCTGGTCACACATCTATAAATTCTAATATTGTTCAGTTTTAAAATAAAATAAAATAAGAGGATCAGGAAATTCTTTATCTGCAGCTATTTTGTTAAATGAAAACAAATAAAACAAAACAAAGGTGCCCAACAATGTAAATAGTATATGCCACTTTTGTGTAACAAGGGAAACCAACATAATATATTTATATTTCTTGTATGTTGTTTTTTTAAGTGCTTTCAAGTTGGTTCCAATTCACAGAGACTCTGTATAGGGCTTCTCAGGAGTGGCTGGTGGGTCTGAACCGCCAACCATGTGGTTAGCATTCCGATGCTTATGCTACAACGTCACACCAGGACTTGTAGATGCATGAAGAAACTGGAAGATTATATGAGAAAATGATTACAGTTGGGTTACTGAAAGACTTCCCACTATGCTCCTTTTTATATTTTCTGAATTTTGAACTGTTTACTGCTGATTCAAAATATTACTTTTAAAAGTATGAATATCTTTTAAACATCTTGAAAAGGAATATTTCACAAAATGGAAACATACAGATACTGACTATTTCTTATGTACAAAGACCATGTCCCAGTCTTCAGCCTCTAAAAGGCAGGTGACTTTAGATTTGTATTTATGTGGAACCAGCCACTCACTTTCGTCTGGTTCTTCTCAGGCGAATGGATGTAGGATTATAAAAGGTCTGGTTCTGACAATCACCAAGACATATAATAATCAAGTTCTCCAAAATCAAAGATAAAGACAGCATCTTGAAAACAGCTAGAGAAAAGAGAAATATAACA